AAAAGCACGGATCCATGATGAGCAGGAAAAGCACGAATCCACGATGAGCACGAAAAGCACACGATGAGGACTACCCGTCGAGCGACAGTCAGAGAGAGAGAGAGAGAGAGAGAGAGAGAGAGAGAGAGAGAGAGAGAGAGAGAGAGAGAGAGAGAGCACAATGAGCACCAAGTTCCCATCGAGCACGAAAAGCACGGATCGACGATGAGCACCAAGTTCCCGTCAAGCACCCGTCGAGCACCAAAGGAGAGCACCAAGTTCTCGTTGAGCGACAGTCCGAGAGAGAGAGACAGAGAGAGAGAGAGAGCACGGACCACCACGCAGGTACAGCACCGACCACCGAGCACACGCGCACCGACCACGGAGCACACACACGCGCACGTTCCGGAAAGTGGCGGTCGATTGGAGGGGTGGCGGGCAACAACAATGTGGGTGGGCGATTGGAGGGGTGGCCGGCAACAACAATGTGGGTGGGCGATTGGAGGGGTGGGCCGGCAACACCGAAGCGGGTGGCCGGGGCAATGAAAGCAGGCGGGCGGGTGATTCGGCGCTTCCAGTACTAACCGGCGACAGTGGAGGAGTGGCCTGGGCGGGCCACGATTACGGGCGGACGGGCGGGCGGACGACTGGAGGGGTGGGCAGGCCTGCAATTCGGCGCCTCCAGTAGCGACCGGCAGAATCTGAAATCTGACATCGCACGGCCCGAATTGCGGGCCGGTAACCACCGCGGACGGCCCAGATCGCAGGCCGATCAGAAAACTTTCTGATCGGCGATCCGCGCCGTCCGCGGTGGTTACCAGCCTGCGATTCGGGCCGTGCGATATGACGTTTAGCAGTTATTATAGTAGGTGTAGATGTAGATGTAGATGTAGATTGGGAGTCCTTGATGCAATTAGCAAGAAGATCGGGCCCAAAACACCCTTTGGATGGGCCAGGTGAGACAAGAGTACCGAAACTCATGTCGAAGCAGAAAGCTATGTTGCGAAAAAAAAAACGGTAGAACACGGAAAGTGATGGAGCTATTTTCCAGAGGAACAAGGAAAAACCATGAAAGAGGAATGGAGCACGAGGAAATATTGGAAATCGTGGAGAAAGATGGAGATTTTGTGTGTTTGTGTGTGCATGCGTGTGCGTGTGTGAGTGTGTGTGTGTGGGTGTGCAAGTTGGGGGTAGTGGGGGGGTACAGGAAGTAGAGGAAGAGATCTGACACAAATCATGCCATGAAAAAACGTGCATACCTGATCAAATAAAATAATACGGTACGTGTCAGGACAAAAAAAGCAACGGCATCCAGGTGACGTTCCACCCCCTGGCCCACCATGAAGAAACAGAACAGGCTGCAAAACACAGAAGGCAGAAAATGAAAGAAAGGAAGCATTGAAGCATTCACATGTTTGTTAAAACAAAATATTGACTGATTGGAGGCAAGAAGAGGGCTTTCACAATGAAAAAAAAAAGGGAGGGCTTCCATAATTAAAGAAAGAAGGGGCTGGAAAACAGAAAAGGCAAAAAACGAATGAGGGCCAGTGTTCATATGTTCGTTAAAACAAAGCAAAAACAAAAAAAGGGGGCTTTTGCTATTCCTTTCTTTCCCCCTGGGACCCCAATCCCCTGAAGCTGCCTCTTGTTCTCTAGTTGGAGATGGTGGCGAGTTGGAGGGGGATTTCACATTGGTCTTTGCTGGTGTACATCTTCTTCTTCTTCTTCTTCTTCTTCTTCTTCTTCTTCTTCTTCTTCTTCTTCTTCTTCTTCCATTCTCATTTCGTCTTTCTTTCTCTATTTCTCTTTTCAAGTTCTTCCATTTCAGCTGCAGTTGAACAGCATTGAAAGAATTCCAGGTGCCTAGTTCCGGTCCCAAGGTCCCAGTTGGTCCCAGTCCCACCAGGTCCCAGTAGGTTAAGTCCCATGGTAGGTAGTGTTCTGTAGGGTCCGTAGGTCGAAGCGTCGCAGTCCAGTGCAGTGGGGAACCGAAGCGTCGCAGTCTGGTAGATGTCTACAAATGTGCCCGCCCTAAGCGAAGACGGGCCTAACAAATCTGGACAAGCCCTCTGCTGTCAATTTCAAATTCGGGGTCCAGGCAGTTGTGACGCGCCAGTTGGTTGAGGGAAACAAAGGCCGAGCAGCAAAGACATTCCACGGCCTTCCAGGCCTTTCCTGAAATGTAGGCCCTGGGCAAGAATCGCAGCCTCGTACACAGGCAGTTGGGAGGTCCAACCGAACGAGGCCCAGCAGCTGCAACAGATGCACAGCCGCCTGGGGCCTACCGGAAGCTTCTGGGCAGAGGCCCAGGCCAGCCAGGCCGCGGGGCAGGCAGGCTCTTTCCATATAGGAAAGAGCTCGCTGCCTGGGCGCTGATTCAGGCACTTGCCAGATGATGCGGCAGCGCTGCTAGAGCAATTGTTCACGGGCTGCTGAGCGCTAAGGGCAAGGTGCTGCGCGCGTGCGGCCGTGCAGGAAGCAGGGCGCTGCTGAGGGCAGTGCCATAGCCCAGCCTCCGTAGCTGTCTGGGGCTTGGACTACAGTGAGGCGCAGGGGTGATCTTCGGGTGTACAGAGGGAAGACGTGGGTGTAAGTCGAGGGAGAGAGAGAAGGATGATGACGATGATATGTGAGAGCACATACCTGGTATTGGCGATGGTCTGCATTGGGCGACATCTTCACGTACTTCGTGGGCTGCTGACGTCAACAGTTGCATTGTCAATTAGTATAGAGATAGTAGCTGTGTAGGAAGTAGGCTGGGCGCCGATCACCAAGTAGGGAGAAGGTCCTGGACTCTTGTGTTGGTGGTGGCGAGAGCAAGCTCTCATTGGCATTGGTTTTCAGTGTTACGATTCTCCATTGGTGTCGTATTGGTGCAATGCTGCTTTCTGGACACTCTAATACTTTCTGGCTTTCAATGTGATTGTGCATTCTGGATATTGTCATCTTGCTATTGCTCATTTTCCTTGTAATTTGGTATCGCAGCTCGTTCGAACTGCGTTTCATTGGTTCTTCGCAATAGCTGTTTGGTGCTTTGCACGAGATGTGGGGCAGTGATAAGGCTCGGGCGTTGAAAGATTGGCGGCCCAGTGTCGTGTGGGCGCACCAGGAAGCTATGTGGTGACATAGGGGGTGTACGCTGGATGATGAGAGTTCGCTGATGTGGCATTTAAGCCGAGGTGGAACTACATTCTGCTGTTTGTTGTGCCGAGGCAGAGACCGGTCATCATAAATGCACGTCAGGTTGCCAGTGAGAAATCTGTGGTTGGGGGCAGCATTATGAGGTACGTTGCTCTCTTCCTTATCTACCCTCTTCATTGCTTCTTACCGTGAGGAAGTGAGTTCTGTCTTGAGAGTCCTTTCATTGTGAGGTGTCGTGAGCGCTCAACCTTGAGAGTCGACATTCTTCCTGGGCAGCAAGCTGGTGGGAGACGGGCGAAGCCTCTGAAGGGCCTTGGACGAAGCACTCGGGTCACGGTCACCATGCCAACCCGCTGGGACTCGTACACGCATGCTTTGCCGCAAGTCCTTGGTTCTGCTGCTGCGCAATAGAGGTCATGCCGGGCATGCCAGCCCTTTGACAGACGCTTACCAGACCGTCTATAAATATTTCTGGCGGGTTCCGGTGTTGAACCCTGGCTGTAATCGTCGTCCTGTCTGTAACGTTAAATAATTCCTGAGGACCTTAGGGGCTGTCCTTGAATTGCCTCTTGATCAGCCAGATCAAACCGGAAGTAAGGCTCGTTGCATGCGAAGGTAAACAGCGTGCCAGGGCTGGCAGGTTCGGCATAGACTTGGGGCACAGGGGTGGGATGGATTGCACACCTTCAGACACGCCGCTCAACCAGATGCTCAGGGCGTTGACACAAAGTGACCACTCAAGAAGGATACAGGGAGGAGGGATTCCGGTAACTGTTCACCGAATTATCAATTGGAAAATATTCCATCCAGCCTGCATTTCTACAGGTGACACAATTTTATTTTTATTATTTAGTTGTTACAGCCTTGACAGACAACTAGTAGACAACTGCAAATAGTTAGTATTCGTTGCTGCAAGCATTTTGTTCCAGAGTAATCCAAAAATAGAATTAGTATTACCTGTAGGATCTGACATTAGCTGTTAATGACGACTTGACTGTTTTTCTTCAGGCTGACCGAAAATAGTTGTATATCATACTTGGTTGGGTGTCATGCTGAGGTAGGATTCAGTGTCGATTCTAGTTTAGATCACACACACTGTAGCTCATGACTGATGCAAGCAGTAGTGAGGAGGAAGAACTATTAGTGGAACCCCTTAGAGTTACACGTAGAACTGCTCTCAGTCGTCCGATCACTTTACAAGAGTTAGCTCCATGAGAGGAAAGGAGGCTGCGGAGGGAAGCTAGGGAGAGGGCGACATTAAGGAGGGTTAGGTCAGCAGCAGCCAGCTTAGAGGCCGCAATGGCTACCGCCTCCAGCATGTCACATGCCTCGTCCCAGGCCACTTCGTCAGGGGTCAGTCAGAGTGTTTCTCAGGTTTCTGTTAGTCAAACTGTTGGCACTCAACTCACACCGGACGATTATGAGATACTCCAAGCAGAAGAACTTCATGATGAGCTGCAGCGGCAGTTGAGAGAGGCAGCCGAGTCCTTAAAGTTTCTTCAGTACCATCAACGACGGTGGCAGCTACAGTGCCATCGTCAGGACAGGCTCAGGTTAGTGTGCAGCAACCTATCTCAGTGGCGATGCAACCATTGCAGCAATCACCTGGGCAAATCCAACCCATGCAATGGATGCCCAAGATTCCCTTGCTGAGTCCTAAGCCCTTCTCTGGCGACAAGAAGAAGGAAGAGGACATGGATACCTGGGTGAGGACTGTTGTGGCATACTGATACCACACGGGCCTTAGATAGGGCCCGGTTCTGTAGCAGGCACAGTTCAGGCCTAGTTATCGGGTCACGACGGGCCCAGTTTAGGTCCATGTAGGCCTAGGACCCATCGGTTCAATTTAGGGTCCGGTAGGCCTCGTTTAGACCCCACCAGACCCAACAGCTAGTTCGTTTAGGCCAGGTACCGGTTCATCGGTAGGCCCAACCAGCGGCTCAGTTTGGCGCCCACTCTCAGATTCTGAAATCGGATCTGAACCGTTGGGCCTGATCAACGGTCCAGACCCAAAGGACCTCAGTAGGACTGAGGCCGACCCAGCACTATATCAGCTGGGTACCAGCCTCAGTCGGTAGGTTAGAGTAAACAGGAGGTTAGTCTTCAGGATTAACGCAGCCTTTCAGCGTTAGCAGGATTAGCACAATGATGCAGCATTACGAGGAGCAGCGAGGAGAGAAGGAGCTCTGTGGCAGAGAGGAAGTAGCGCAGCATTGGGAGCAGCGCCAGCCACCGACCCAGCCCGCGACCCAGCGGCAGCCCTTTCAACGCCATAGCTACTGTGACAGGTACCAAGGAGAAAGGCTTGCCTTCTCTCCCTCATCTTCCTCCATTGCTCTCTCTCTCTCTCTCTCTCTCTCTCTCTCTCTCTCTCTCTCTCTCTCTCTCTCTCTCTCTCTCTCTCTCTCTCC